TACGACATGCATGGTGGAGGGACCCTATGGCGGACTGCATAGTATGCGCTCTTATGGTACGGTTATGTTGTTTGCTGGCGGTGTTGGCATTACTCATCAAGTACCTCACGTTCGCGATCTCGTCGCCGGCTATGCGAACGGAACTGTCGCCGCAAGAAAAGTTATTCTCATCTGGACCATCCAGAGCCCTGAGCATCTCGAGTGGATTCGACCTTGGATGACGGAGATCCTGGCCATGGAGAAGCGCAGAGATGTTCTCCGAATCATGCTCTTCGTCAGTCGGCCAAGATCAACCAAGGAGATTCACAGCCCTTCGTCTACTGTTCAAATGTTCCCTGGCCGCCCCAACATCGAGACGCTCATTAAGGCCGAACAGGAGTCACAAGTTGGAACCATGGGCATCAGTGTCTGCGGTCCTGGCGCTCTCAGCGACGAGGTGCGCCGCGCCGTTCGCGATCGCCAGCATGATTCAGCCATTGATTTCAACGAAGAAGCTTTCTCGTGGTAAGATGCAAAGGGCATGTTCGCGCAAATGCAGCAGAAACGCAATGGGGCTTCGAGTGGTTTTGCATCAGGCGACCTCCATGAGATGCGAAGCAATACAAGTCAATACAAGGGCAAAGGGTGAGTTATTAGGATGAGGTTACCGTACCTACCTTGCAATCGAGGCACAACGGGTTAGTTCAATGTAAATATGGGGGACCGATTTAGACCGTAGTTCTATGTATATGTGATACCACATATTTCATGTATCTAAGAGGCATAGTGGAGAATCCCGTGCAAGATACGTCACTGAAACCCAGCCCACCTTCCTCCGTACCTTACCTTCCCTTCAGGTAGGTAGGTATCCGTAGTGTGCTGTTTCCGTGGCTTTGCTTAAGGTGCCCTGCTTGCCTTACCTAAGGTACCTATCATCGTCGGAATGTCACCAGTGCACCCCCAGTGCCAAGTCCCCTGTCGACCGTCCCCGGCTCCTTCACCGACCCCTCCTTCCGCCGTTGCCTTCTGTCGGCTAGACCAGCTGCTGCCTTTCTAACCCTCCCCCGTCCTCCGCATTCTTTGATGGATGAATCTTTTGAATTTGCAACTTGACGGCCCAAGACGGAAACAGCCAAATAGCCAACAGGTCTCTAGGCTCAACTGAGCACACAGTCGAAAGGTGACCCAGCCTGGTCCCAGCCTGGCCCCAGCGCTTCCCTCCGAGGCCCAGCTTAGCTCGGTCCCCATTCCAAGGAAATCGAACGTTGCTGACGTCCGTCACACATCGGACTGGTGATTCCAGGAGGGTCCACGGCGGGCGCGCTTCAGAGTGCTATCTTATCTCTCCCGTCTACCTTAGCTGCACCCTCACCTCACCTGCTCACCTGAGCGTTCGCCGCATCCATCCGGCCTGGGCACATATCCCCCTCCCGTCTCCCGCACGCCCGCCTGCCCTACACTCTTGTTCCGGACTTCAAGACACCTAACACGTCAACCCGGAACCCCCCCCCCCCCCCCCCCTTCCACGTTATCCTCATTCTGTCCTTCGGTAAAGCGATTCGAGGAGGAAGCTCTCCTTCTTTTCTGCAGCTTTGCAAGAAGCATATCGACGACAGCATCAAATCCGGAGCTGCCTGCCGCTATCGAGTGGCAAGGCTTCACGACCAGCCACAACCGTTCCGTCTCCCACCGCATCCTGCCTGCGCAGGAGGAGACTTTGCACATAATGGGGTTGGCGTACAACACGTACTTGAACAGCAACAAGGTCTATGGCTGCAAAACATGCAAGGCGCATCTGTCGAACCATGAAGACATCATAAGCCGGGTATGTTTCATCAGGATATTCTCTCCTCACTGCTCTGCGTCGCATACTCCAACAAACTTTGGACCGCGCAATCAGACATCGCCTCCACCTCTCTGGTAGCCATCTATGTACACGCACTGACAAGTGTGTCAACAATAGAATTTCCGAGGCCAACATGGCAAAGCATACCTATTTAACAGCGTCGTCAACATCGAGACAGGCGAGCCCAGCGAACGAAACATGACGACCGGACGACACATCGTACGCGATATCACCTGCAAGCAGTGCAAGGAGACCGTTGGCTGGAAGTACGACAAAGCATACGAGGCTACGGAGAAGTACAAGGAGGGCAAGTTTATACTTGAGGCTGAGCTTCTTTGCAACGTCACCTAGATCTTTCGTGTGACAGGGAAAGCTCCCCCAAGGGAAAGGGATACTGCGTTGAGATATGGCGTTTGAGCTTCTGTTCGTCGGGTTTCTTTTCGGGGGCAAAGGCACTATGATGCCTTGCATACGGGCGGCGTTTCTTGGTGTATAGGACGGTCTTCATTTGGGGCCGATCGCAGCGCCTGGCCAGGCAATGGGGTTTCATCTGACTGCGTGAGAGTGGCATATACCTGTCAGTTGGTTGTCCGCCGATCCCTCAAAGTCTGTCAGCATTCACACCTCCCGCTCAACCAATAAGTCAGGAGACTGTTACTCAGGGTTGCTGGGAAATTTGGCATCGGGTTTTTTCATTAGTCTTAGTTGGAGCACAATAGAGACGGTTCGTGGAGTGCAACTGAACCATATCTTTGAGTAACCGATTCTCATACGCCTAGAATACAGCCGCTTCCATACCTGATCTAAATCAAGCTACAATCTAGAGCAGAAACCCTGGCCATGGGATGGAGCCAACCACAACCCCGCTGACTATAACATTCTATGTCCCTTCTCTTCACTGGTGTTCGATGGGTTCCTCCGGAAGTAGTTCCTCCACCTCTTCGTCAGGGACAAGAAATTGGAAAGGGGGTTGCACAATTCCGTTGAAGAGGAAGGTAAAGTAGACAAGCAGGCCAAATCCAACGACTTGCAGCCACTTAAAGGTCTCCCAACGGAGCCCGAGGGAGACGATCCAGATGAAGAGAGTTCTGCACGTATCGATCGTAGATCTCGAGGTAGCGCTGACGCTTCTGGTAACGGAGAGACCAAAGAAGTTGAAGCCACTGAAACGGAGCGCGTTAGTAAGTCGTCTGCTTGTCAGGTAGAAAGTATAAACGTACCCGATACTGATCATGATCAGGATACTGGAAATCCCGATGGCTCTGTTCTGCGTAAGTTGCCTCCAACCCTCGGCCATGTCGAAGTATCCGTAGCGTCCAGCATCGGTTTTCCCAATAGCTAGATGCAAGACAATCATGCCAATAACGGTGACAGTAAAGCCGAAAAGGCCTTCGAATCCAACGACACGGATAGGTTCGATGGATGACCTTTCCAGAATCCATTCCTCCAAAACGAACTGTGTCGCAGTGAAGATCTGAGCGCCGGCAATGAGGAGAACACCCACAACCGTCAACAAGGCATTGGACTCGGGGGAGCCTTCTTCGACGTCAGCCTCGTTCGTGTTCTCGTGGTAGATGGCACCAGCCAACCCAACAATTGCGACGCCCGTGACAACGCCAACGAGGGACAGCCATTGGAACAAAAAAAGTCTACGCTTGAGGAAAATGACGCTGAAGACCCCGACGAAGAGAACGAGGGCGCCGCGAGTCATTTGGTAGATGGAGGCCGCAACCAACAAAAGACCAATGTTCATCAGCGTTGTACCGAGAATATCGCAGATGGCTGGGAGCGCCAAAAGCAAAATACGAGGCCCGCGCAGAATAGCACCGCTTTCCTCTTCTTGAGGCTTCGGGCGTCCATCCACGTTGCCGACAAGAGGAGCATCTGCATTATCGGTATCATTCGTGTTGACGGCCTCGTAGCCGTTAGCCGTGGGGTTCGCTCCGGGTCCATAGCGGCGATACAGGTTCATCAAACCGATGACCAGCCAACAACCCATCTCTCCAACAAACATCTGTGCTGTCTGCAGTACAGGTTGGTTAAAGTATGCCCGTTTCGTGGGGTCCTTCGCATCGCAGTTGCGGACGCATTGCATATCCTGTGGGGAAGCTGAGTTAGCGTCTGGTTTCCAGGAGCCAGTGACTTCCAACATACCTGATACTTTGTGAGAAGGGTATTGCAGACGCCTGTCAACAGCATCATGCCGACAAGAAAGGGAACAAGGGCCCGGGAAGCCATTTTGAGCGAACTGTCGAACTTGACCGGCGAGACGACTATGGGCAGGTGGAGTTATGAGAGACGAGATGATGCAGAACCAAACGTATCCTTTTCCAGTCACCCCTCTTAATTGCGATGTGAGATGAGGCTGCTGTGGGGAAACACGCAGCCGGGAGAGGCTGAAGGAAAGGGGATTTGTTCTTTGGACAAGCACAGCAGCAGTCGTTGTCGATATGAAGGTTGATGTAGCGGCTGTAATCATCTGGACGTGGCGGAGGTGTCGAGCTGAGTGATGGAACGAGCCGCTTATCAGTGGGTACCTCAAGGTGGACGCCGGTGGTCTTGCTCGTACCTCGGGTACCTCCTGTGCTGCGCTTGGGTGTCAGAGTACCTCAGCAAAGTCAATGTCACTTCCGCGACCCACTCGGCTCCCCAAAATGGACGCACGCGGCCCCGTGCCTATGCACCTTCTGACCTCCACAGGTAGGTAGGTAATACGGAGTACCTTAGAGGCTTTTGGTTGTTTAGCGTTCTAGAGTTGGTCACGCGTCCATGTGAGACTCTGACGGGTTGCCTCAATGTCAACCATCAACATGGGTTGTGTCATAGTAAGCCAAAAGAGTGAATCAACCAAAACGAAACTTTTGTCACATCAGTTTCTGCCCCGTCAGTGAAGGAAGAGAAGAACCGCCAAAGTCATTTGAAAGTGGTCGGCAACGGATTTGTCTCATTAGGCCGGGTGAGGATAGCAAAGCCTCTCTAACGTTGAGTGGGAGTTGCTGTAGGCCGTGCAAGCGACATCGTTCAGAACCACATTTCCATCAGTTAAACTATGCATCCACCTGCCCGCTAGGGTCCTCCATGAGGTGCACCATAACTGGGAATCCTCTTTGCTCCTGACCATTGACAAGAATCAAGTGGCATCGCGGCGAAAATATATGTTACTTTCATCAATTAAAGGTGTCATTGCGTATTGTATTACTCTTCGTATATAGGTATCTCATCTGTGGCTTAATCCTACGCACTAGCCTATTTCTTTTCCTTGGGCTTCTTGTCCTTGATGTTGTTGTAATGGTGAACCCCCATTTCCTTATCTTTTGCCAGACGCTCCTCATCTTCTTTGCTGAGCGGCACGCCTTCAATGCTCTTCACTTTCTTACCCTCGAAGAACATCATCAAGCCTCCTATGGCAGCCGCCAAACAAGCGAGCGCAACGAAAAGACCGGTGGACCAACTGGGTCGATCGAATCTGTTCATTCCCCACATGAAGCCTGAGAGAACACACTGCAAGAATGTGTTCCATACATTGAACCAGATGACGAAGTCCATTTTCCAAATTGCCGTGGGGGGTGCTCGAACTCCAGTGAGGGGAGCGTTGGGAATAGCTTTCTCGGGGTGCGGGATGTGCAACACAGGCCGTTCGTTTGCCAGCTCCATGACGTTTTCGGGGCCAATGTGGACAGGGAGTTGGTCAGATCCAGGCAAACGGAACCATCCGCGGTGTATACCCGCAAGCCGGCCAAGAGCTTCAGGTTTCTTCAGGATGCGATACTGCATCAAGAAATACAGATCACGAAATCTCCACGGCGCCAATCCGAATCCTGTGACACAGAACAGAGCGTTCAGAATCTGCGAATCCCATTCGATCCATTTGCGCCGGGGGGAGTTGATATCGTTACATGTCGGGTAGCACATTGCCGGGGACGCATTGCAAAGTAGCAGAAACAGCATGCCGCCCCAAGCAACGACATTCAGGCCGTAGAGAACGACGAAGAAGCCGAGGGGCGTGCAGGTGTAATTCCAGAACGCTTTTGCGCCAATCTTCATAGACTGCGACTTGGTGTGTGCGGGTGGGAAGTGGTAGCCGTTATCGTAGGGTTCGTACAGTTCGTGCTCTGCAGTGGCCACGGTAGCGGAGGCGGCACTGGTTGGTATTCTTCCTTCAACATCTTGTTTCTTGTCTTCATTGTGGTTGTTGTTATTGCTGTCAGAGAACTTCGTCTCGGTTGTAGACTGATCGGAATTAGGGTGGTCCAGCGGCGCGTTCCTGTCCTTCTCGCTGCTGTCCAGTGAAGAATCTGGGCGAGACATTGCGTCAGATTCCAGATACTTTTGTTGCTGTTTGTCGGAAACGCCTTTAGGGCCTTCGGTCCCTCAAGCTGTATTCTAGCTGCTGAGCCAGAAGAAACAGCAACGTGTTTCGGTATCGCCCGCTGCAGATTGGTGCAAGTGCGGCGTGTGATCCGTACAGACGAGCCCCCGTGTATCGACCGCGAGAGTGTTCCTGATTCGGAATCGTTCGAGTATTTGATACTGGGTTGAAGACCAGCTGTAAAGATCGATGACGGTTCGACAAAAAAGCGTAGGAAAGAAAGGTCTGGTGCGGTAGGTCCTACGCAGATTGCTTTTGTCGAATGACGATGTACAGCCGGTGATGTCGGAGAAGTGAATAATTAATGACCGACACAGTAACACGCAAGACCGAGTCGTTGGCAGAAAACTGCTGCCACGAAGCAGCGACGAAAAACCGGCGGGGGTTAATAAAGGGTATCTTTGAACATCCGACCTAGTAGATGGGAAAGGCAGCTGGCCCGGCGTGGGAGAGGAAGAGTGGTTCGGGGAATTCAATCAAAGAAATAAAACAAGGTACGGCGATTGTCAAAGAGGTGTTATGTGGGGGCCGGTGTCGACGAAAAGCAGGTGAGAAAAGGAAGAAGTGCAAGCCACAATGATGAGCCAGGGTCGGAGGATATAGCAAAGTGCCAAAGAGTTCTTGGGGGGGGGGACGGGCTGGGTCTAGGCCTTTGATGGTGGAAAGGGGCGGGATATGGAAAATGCGTAATGGAATTAGACGCCAATAAGCACCGACCTTGGGAAGGAAGATTGGACTTCCATTGATGGACGGATGGACTCCTCGTTTATGCCTGCCCTGCTAGATGGTACGCCTGTGCCTTGAAGGAGGGGCGGCCAAAGTTCTCCGTCCAGGCGTGACAGGCTGCTTCATTGTCGACCTGTCAGAGGCTAGAGCCCGTTTGCCGTGGGCTACGCCCAATAGACGCTGGTCTGTATGGAAACGCTGGTGTCCATCTCAAGTGAACTTGGGGCAGGAACCACAAAACAGCCGTCGCAAATCTGGACCCTTACGTCAATACGCGTACGATGGACCGGGAATACAGTTTGTTAGGTACTTTGCACGACCACAGCCACTGCAGATTGTGTGACAGCACGCGCAGTGAGGTCAGCGACGCAACCACACAGCCTGCCTTTCGGTACGTACTCATGACGGGATTTGAGAGGGATGTGCACGTATTTGCCCCAAACCTTGGCTGTTGGTTGGCTCGCGTTTCCGTCGGTTACGTAGGTTGACCAGGATTATTAGAAGTGGACCGTGGATGCCGATGAGCTGCGCTTTGCTCTGTCGGTTTTGTCTCAACTCTTGAGAGCATTAGAATTTGAGTTGCCGGCCTGCCGGTGGATTCGTTCAGACATTCAAGCTATGACATTCTTGTATAAGTGACGATTGTCACTGCAGCTCTCATGTTCAAGTAGTCGAAAGAAGTGCAATATCTTCTTCTTATTCTTGGGAATAGATACCGCAGAATGGACCAAGATAGCAATCATCGACACCAACCATTCCATTCTTGATTTAAGTGAGACAAGCCAATTATGACGGGTAAGGAACCGTTGCTGTGTGCCTGGCTAAAAACATCAGCTTGGCCGAGGAGAGAAACAACACGGAGATTCACAAGCCTCAGAGCGGGGCTGAGAATGGGAAACGTAGGTGTGGCTTTGACACGCCATGCACACTTCGGATCGTTTCGCTCCCTACTTCCCTATGACGATGACTACATCCACTCGGCAGAGAAGGTGCGCTAGACTAATAACATACCTAGGAGTACCCGTACGGAGTAAATATACCAGGACAACAACTTTTCTCATCTGCTCCGCCTGCAACCACAGGCCAAACTGTGTGATTACTTTACATCGGTAAGATAAGGTAAGGCAGGTGTAGCCTGTAGGTAGGCACCCATTGGGGCCAAACGCTACGGAGGGCCTGAAGGTACCGACTAGGTAAACTCGCTGAGCTCTACCTGGATTCAGCGGGCGACTCGTAAGCGGAAGCCTCTATACATGCATGACAGTATCGTTTAATAGGGAGTTATGCATATATCGATGACGCAGCAAATCGTTGGCCAAGGAGCACATCTGATTGGCATACCGACGGTCTTATTGGGGCCACTTGTCTTGAGAACCTTGAGAACTCTTCAACGACAACCGCAACAATTTCCTCGGTGACTTTGGTCTTCTCAAACATATATTACGCCCTAGTAACTCCGTTTCTTCAACACCCCATTAAGATTGGATCAGGCGCAATGGCCGCAGAACATCTAACCAACCTTACCGATCTGGTCCTGGGCAACCTGCGAGATCAACATGACTGGATTGATGTCGAGGTTCGGAGTGACGGGAAAAGCCGACAGCGTCCCATCATCACCGGCCTCCCGCCTAACAGGCTGTACATGCACCCTGACGAACAAATTGAGGCCTTGGAAATGGAACAGACCGCCGGCAAGCGCTCAAGCCAGGCCCCCGAGTATGAGTGGGTTCTCCCAGTGCATCTAAGCGAACAATGGACTCTGAGTTCTTTTGCTACAATTTTTGACTCCATCGACACTCTGCCACGAGAACTCGATCCAGCAAGCACCATCGATGGACCTCAGAAGCGGGATTGGCGTGGCACAGATCGTCAAAAGAGACTACTCCTTGCCGTGGTCCACGACGATTCGACCGTGTCTTATTACCTCATTCACGACGGTATTGTCAAGCCAAGACAGAATTAAGGCATTGATCCTATATCTATCTCAACATTCCATCACCGCAACCGCAAACTCCATACTGCTCCTGCTATCATGCTGAGTACGGAGGCGACATCTTCTCACTACGAGTTTTGTGCTTTCAATCAAGGAGTGAAGATAACCTTTTGGACCTTCATCTGATCGAACAATGCATATCCCTCAACCGCCTCGCTCAACGGCATAATGCGGTCGAACATAAACCTAATCAATGTCAGTTCCCGGACGAGGACTAGTGAGGGCGCGAATGTGTGCTCCCAATGGTGCGGTAATAAACCTAGCCATGGGGTATGGTCAGCACTCACCCAAGTTTGTCCTGCTTCTTCTCCAAAAGGGCGAGAGCCTCGGGGAAGATGGCTCGGACAGGACATCGACCCATCTGCAGCCTTAGGTTCTTGCTATGGAGGCAGTCAGCACCCTTCAGGCCTTCAATTCTCTGCATAGTTGTCAATATCACACTCACCCATACGCTTCGGTACCGGTCCATGGAATCTAATCATGTGTCAGTAAGACAAATCGCAGCCTCAAGATTGAGATCGATACGAACCTCGCCATTATGGACACCAATGCTAGCAATGACACCAAATGGCCTGATGATGTCGAAGGCAGTTCTAAGAGCTGGGCTTAGACCGACAACCTCAATAACGACATCAGCTCCGCGGCCATCAGTCACCTCCTTGATCCGCTTCTCCATGCCTGCACGATCAGTCTTGAAGTTCAAGGGCTCGGCTCCAAGGCTTCTAGCAAGCTCTAGGCGACTGTCTACGCTGTCAATGGCAAAAAGATGCTTGGGACGGTACTCGAGCGCCGAAATCACGGCACACAGGCCGACGGGTCCGCAACCAATGACAACCGCAGTGGCATTCGATCTCTCTTCTTCCTTGAGCAAGTTGAAGCCAGATTTGGCGCCGAAGAAGCCGGTTGGGAAGATATCGGCCATGAGAACCAGAGCATTGTCGGAGATGGTGGTTGGAGCCTTCATAGCGGTTCCGTCGGCATCAGGGATACGCACGTATTCGGCCTGACCGCCATCCAGCGCACCGCAGCCAAAGAGCTTGCTACGAGCGCAACGGGATGTGTACCCGTTCTTGCAATAGAAGCATTTCATGCTGGAGAACCATGTTGGAGGTTTATTCGGCATGGTAGAGTGGAGAGGACTTACCACGACGAGGTGAAGGGAGAGACAACCCTGTCACCAATGTTCAAGGAGGTCACAGCGGCGCCTTTTTCAACAACCGTACCGGTGAACTCATGGCCCATGATGAAGCCTGTCTCGGATGGCTGGTGGCCGCGGAAAACATGCAGTTCTCTAAGATTTGTGTGAGAAGGAAGAAAAAGGAACACGGTGGACTAAGGAGTGCCTCACGAGCCGCACAGAGCCGTTGCCTGCACCTTGACAATTACGTCGCCATCGTCTTGGACTATGGAACTGGTCAGTGATACATGGAAGCTGACATGAAGCTCATCAGGGAGCAGAAAGATGGGCCAGCGAACCGGTAGGGATGGGGCGTTGCTCGACGGATACAGATTGCGGTCCGTTGAAGACAACGGCGCGCATGGTTCCTGAGGTAGACATTGCGGGGGTTTGTTCGGGTAGATTTGGAACTGGATCACAGTGAAGGCGTTGATGGAAATACGAGAGCTCTCGGATGAGAATGTTCGAAAATCCCCAGGGGTTGTGGCAATCTCAGCAGAGGTAATGAGGAGCAATAAGAAGCCGAGGCACGCAGCCAGAAACACAGTCGTATTGATCCTCGGTGATGCTGGATGATGTGGTTGTGAGGTGTGGTGAGGCACAGTTTGTATGCACGCCGGGCCAATCACCTCGCCCCCGCTCCCATTGCCGTTCATCGGAGCATCACTGTGCGAGCGAGTGTGTACACAGGGCGGGCAGTTGACGTGCACGAATAGAGATGAAGTGAAAAAGAGGATTAAAATCTGCCTACCCCGCGCAATTACATAAGGCGATTTTGTATCGGAGTAGTTTGCGCTTTCGCCAGACATGTCGTGGAAAGTAGGTGATGAAGTGAATGAACCCCTTTCGTAGCAGCAAGTGTTGTAGCGTAAGATCGACATGGCGTATCCTGAGTACTACGTACATTTTCTCGTAGAAGTCGACCGACAATCAACAGATATGAATCACAAGTGCGGAAAGCAGGTTAGAGGTATGCAGGGCTATGGTCGTCTTGCTCTGTATGAATATAGTTCATACAATGTAATATAATGTCTGACCCTAGCTTTCTATTTTATGCGTCAGATTGTTCCTCGTCAAATAACGGTAAAGATGAAAGTCAGGCTTGACAAAGTCGCAGAGGGCGTTAGGTTGATGGCTGCGGCTCATATTGATTGACTCGGCGGGCAAGGGAAGCAGGATGCGTAAGATCTAAGTTGACTTGCCGCGGTCCCGAGCCTAAGTGCCTGGCACCACAATGAGAATAAAACACAGGGGTATTATTCATGCCAGGAGAGACTCTCGCGTTATCTGGGTCGATGTCCAATGAGGCTTCCAATGAAGTACCTGTGGATAGCGCACATGGCCGATGGATGGACCTACTGCGTAGGTACACGACTGATACCCCAAGTAAAAAGTTGACAGACCAGCCGTCTGACAGCTCACAACCTTGAAGAGGGCTGGAATGGTTGGCGCCTTCTAGAAACTTAGGTACCTTGGGGTAGCTTTCTATATATACTAAGGTACCTACCATAGGTACCACGCGCATGACGGATTCATCCGCCGCTCTTTCGAGCCAAACCTGCTACTTTAATAGCAAATAAAGGAGATACACAGTAATTTTTTCTTTGAACCCCCCTCCCCGTCCCCCTCTGTTTTTATTTAATTTTATAATTATGTAGTGTTCTATTAATTGTTTAAGCTTAATAGGCATTGAATAAACCCTTGGGATAAGGAGAGAGCTTGAGAAAAGCGGCGGATGGATGTGTCACCTACGTGCGTACCTAGGTGTACCTAGGGGTGGTGGATGGTGGCCCTGCCACCCTGAGCCAGATCCCCCGCTCGTGCGTGCCACCACCTCTGTCCAAAAACCGGGGACCACTTTGCTGAAGAACCCCTCGTCTGGGGTAAGACGGGTAAGGTAGGGGGCAAAAGTCCCTCTTGTCGCCGGTCGGGGAACAGAAGACGCCTTGGGATGCCAACGTCTTGGCCACAAAAGACGACGTGACGAGGCCAGACGGTCGGTTTGGTCCAGTTCATATTGCTTGAGTAAAATTGCATCTTCTTCGTTGGCACGGAGGATTGGGTGTAGTGATGGAGTCTGTTGATGACAGATGGACGATCCTTAAGTTTCCTTGAACTATCCATGCACTAAGGTATGCTCCGTTGCTAACGTCCCGTGGTTTTGGAAAGGAAGGGAGGTAAGGGAAATACCGAGCCCAGCGTTTACATATTACACCCGACACCAAATGGAATTTTGTAACTACCGGCTCAAGAACAGACTGGTTCCATTATCTTGTTGCAATTCGGGCATGTAATTTTTTCTTAGATAGCGTGCTGATTCCTCCTAGGTGAGGTACCTGGGGAGGAGACATGGAGATGGGTGGAATGTTGCGACTTGGACAGAGTAGTAGCCCAGCGTCAAGGTAGCTAGCTACCTACACTAGGTAATTCTCCCATCCCATTGAAAGCTACCTGACAAGTAAGGTATAGGTACTTTACTCCGCAAAGAAGAGAAGTAGCGAAAAGAAGGGTCCCCTTGCTTGACCGCCTTGGACTTGGCCAATGAGATCGCCCGAGTCAGCTCGCTCTAGGCCGATTGCATGTGTAGATGATTGAGGCTTAGAGGCTTAGCGGCTTGGGCGCATGGAACAATCACGGGCATTGGTGGCATGGGAAGGGGGACTCTGGAGGGTTCTATTGAACGATTGGACAGAGCGGAGCGAAGCGGGTCCTGTCAAAGTTGATGCAGCGAGTGGTAGGTCTTCGATGGGAAGGAAGGTTGGTGAGGGGTTAATGTTGGACTTGGCTTGGAGAGGAGCCCATCTAGTGTGGGGTAATAACGAACGATGCCGAGAGGTAAGGTATCCGTCCGAATAGTTGCACACCAGCCCGACATCTTGGTCTGCACAGATGTACTTAAGGAAAGCAGTAGACGAAAAACAATGTCCGCCGATCGGTTGATTGAAGATGAGGCAAATTCTATGTTGTCGAAGCGAAAGGGGAAAAGAACCCCCGAAAGAGAAAATAATAATCACCCACGCCTAGGGTTGCTTAGCAGAGTTCGAACTTGCAGACCAATGAGGTGAGCGTGGTTAGGTGCAAGACTAACGCGTGCGCGGGGATGGCTCAACGGATGACTTGATGTTTTGGTCAAGTGTTTGTTGACTTGAATACACACACACACACACACACACACACACACAACGCACCACACATCCAAGCATTCTCTTCGTCCGAATCGTTCCATTTCAGTTCCAAGGTTCATATTTCCTCAAGCCAAGACCGAGTTGCCGCGACACTGTAAAACTGCGATTTGGAAAGGCGAGTTCACGGAAACATTGGGGGAGCCTTGCAGAAGAAAGTGAGGAGCAGGAAAGGGTGGGTAGACAGGAATCGTCAGGTGTGGTGACTCGTGAAGTGAACCAGGAGTGTACAGAATAAGGTAGGGCTTTCCAAGTTCCAGCTTGGGCCTGGCCCGACGGCGACCAGTGACCAGCACTGATCAGGGACATGGCCCCCATGCCTCGGATTGAGCCTCCACTTCCGTCCCGTTCGTCCATCCATTACATTGGGTGCGGCTAATTGTCATTGACAAAGGTGACTCCCGCTCGTACGGAGTACAGTGATAGTGTATAAGTTGTTGCGAACCTGCAAAATACCAAGACCTGCGCAAAGTGCCTCGCCGAAGAACACAGAGTACGGAATACCTAAGCATTAGTGACCGAATTGGGTGAAAACTCCACGGGCTTCATTCTCCATGTACGAACTACCTACCTCAGGGTAGAATGCTCTGCCCATAGCTCAACCTCAAGTGCTCCGTACGGAGTAGGTACTTCGTGCGCAGTACCTGCCGCGTTCCTTGGGGATGCCCCGGTCATTGTCAGCCCTCATTTCCTCCGCGATCCATCTTGTGCTCGTCCACTAGCCACCGGCTTTCTGGTATTTCTTCCACAATGGTCTCGTTTCGTTCCCTCTCGCCCTTGCGCATGATGCTGTTTTTCAGTGGATCATGGGTTTGCGGTGCCGTGTTTCCGCGACCCTGCATTGCTCAAAGTCAACCAAAGGATGAAAACAATGACAGAAGACTGACTACCTGGCTGTCCACCCAATCTCCCGAAGGAGGGAAGTGACGCTTTCCTCATGGTAAGATATAGTGAGATGCGGAAAGGGCATACGGATACAGAGGTCGTCTTGCCGAGGGAAATTTCTTATCCGATATAATTGCTAGGTTTTACTATTGTACGCATAGAACATGGTAGGATGGCTCTCCACTCCTTCTCCAAGTTTTTTTCCTTTGTGATAGTACTGCCATCCGATCCTCTAGACTGTTCCATCCCATCTTGATCCTCATTCGTTATGAGGTACCGGTACTTCGTCCCCTTCTGCCCCATCCGTGTATGGAGTATACTTTCAAAGTCACTTCCCATGGAATGAAGCCTCCCCAGTCCGTCTAGGGTTCCCGCCGCGGCATTCTCATCCTTGCGCCTTTCAACAAGCATCTCGAGTGCCTGGGTGACCACTGATGCTGGGAGACAATCTGACAAGTGTAACATGGAAACCAGCTCTCTCGGCTGCTTGTGGTAATGTCACTTGATCAGACTAAAAAACCCTCTCTTTCCCCGCCTTCTATCATGCCCCCGCGCTAAACACAGATAAAGCAGTGCATGGCAAATCTGTGAGAAAACTGCTGGTCCAGGTTCTTGGTAACCTCTTAGCTCGGCGCTGAATCGATCCTGGGTCGTTCCTTGCCGAGATAAGCCCACTCGCCGCATCTATGACCGCAGGTAAGGCGGTTGGCGCCTAGTCAAGACTACGATGATGCTCGCCCACGTCGAGGGCACGCCGCATAAGAGGGAGTGCGACGAAGATACCCTTATTGAACCAGGCCGCCATGCCTTTTTACTGAACATCGATGTGACATAGAGGCACGTCAATCTTACTCTTGCACATTTCATCGCATGAGGCATTCCCGCTCTTCAGCCTGCCTTGCAGCGCAGCCCGTAAATGCGAGTACCTAGGAGCATCGCCCTGCTGGTCTCTCGGAACCGTTGTCGTGCCTTGCTCTGTACATAGTACCGATCAAACATGCTTCCTAGGCCCGGAAGTGAGGCGCAACGGGTACGCGACTAGGGACGGGGCCGGGAACAAATGAGTGAGAGGGAGAGAGTGTGAGGGTGAGAAAGAGGAACAGCAGAGGAAGGGAAAGAGATAGAGAAAGAGGCAGAGAGAGAGAGAGACTGGACAAGCCTGTGGAGAGGAGGCAGGGAGGGCGGCTGAGAAAGGGGAAAAGGTACGTAGACTTGTACCTAATTACTGCCCGCTCCGTGTACGACCACCGAAATATCTCCAAGGCACTATGTGCCTCACCTAGGTATCGCTTGTCCTTAGGTATCTGTACTTTGTGCTACGCATGTAAGGCAATTTATGTATCTCGACCTATGGGCCGGTACTCCTGCGGCCTGCCTGGTCTTTACTTAGCCTCATATTCCAAGGAATCCTTTCCCTTATTTCGTGCTCATAACCCTTAGCAAGTATCCCTACTCTTTGGATACCTAGGTAGATACCTCTCCTTACCCCGTCTTGCCATCTGAGGTGTGCAGTGTGCCCCCAATCCCTATGCGCGCTTCCGCCCATCCCATATCCACTTTCTTGGTGACTCGGCTTCTTCATCTCTTCTCGCCTCCACGTCCCCCCCTCCTTCTCCCCCCAAAATCCGCTTTTGTTCCTCACTAGGGTCACGCGGTCCCTTGAATCTATCTGTGGCACTGGGCGAATCTCTCATACGCTTCCAAGAAATTATGCGCTAACACTAAAGGACAGCCTCCTTCCCGCTGAATACCTTGGAGAAGCAAGAACTGGATGGGGGGGACCTTTTTGCAACATGAACAACTCGCTCCTGTTTGACTCTGAGGTGCTGTTGTCGCGCCCCTCAATCTCTTTACCGCCTTCGTCTCGTACCTCGCCCAATTCTTGTTACTTTTGTCACCTACCGTAGGTACGGATTCTTGACCTTACCTCACCGGCACCCCGTCCGACGACGGGCCAAGATACCTACCTACCTGTCCTCCAGCCCGTCCGACCTACCGCTTCCACTACCGCTACCGCTGCCGCTGCCGCTCACTCAACTCGTGTACTACACCCGACTATTGCTGACCCTCGCTCGCCTTGCCTCGTGCATCCATCTGCATGGTTGCCGTCCCTGGGCGCCCTCTTTTATCCGTCAAAGAATCACGCACCCGACTGACTCCCGCGCTTGCTCCTCATTCTCCCCACACCCCTGCTCGAGGCCACACCGACCTCCGTCTTTGACATCCAAACGTCGCCGCATCCCATCCTCCAACTCCCGGCCGCCCTCCATCTCTCAGTCCGCTCCTCCTCCCAGTCCTCCTACCTGCACCTGCATATCACCATTCCCTCATCGGCTGCTTTATTCCGGAGTCCACGACGGCGGCGATAGCTGTCTCGGGGCCGACTTCTCGCGACGCGCATTACCCCCCTCTATCACTTTCCGAATTTCATCGTCCTCGAAGCGACGCTGTCTTTGTCGCTCCCCTCGGCCCCAACAGCTGCCGCCTTGCGCAAAAAGGGACCATAACAGCGCAACCTCCTGATACCCCGTGGCGCCTCGCGACAATCTTTGCCTACTTACCGCCTCTCCAAAGTCGACCCTTCCTTCGCCGCTGTCACCGTCAGTTTTACGACAACCGTTCTGGCCGTCTCTGTCGCTAGCCACCCGTCGTTGCTGCGACCCTTACCCTGCAACTTGCCCCATGGCGGCTTGATATCGCTTGCGCTGTGAGCCACGACACTCTCCGGTAGCGACAACTATGACTGCGTCGGCTGTTCAAAGCCACCTGCACCACACAGCTGCGAGCGACTGTTACGATCCCGATGACGTTCTCCCTCACGATAGCCCCCAAATGCAAGCTCACCGCCCCAGACTACAGCCCTCACCCAGTCCTCCGCCTGCTCTGAGCCCTAGCCGAAAGTCGTTCCACGGTCGTCGCAAGGTCGAGCCCATTCAAGGCGATGCCGTGTTAGTGGCTCATCTCGGAAACGGCAGACAGCCAGACGTCGCCCAGGCCGCCGCTCTTGAACCCCTTGCCTCTGACAACGGATCCGAATCCGAGTCTTCTTCCCCAACCTCTCCTGAGCGCGATATGAACAAATCGGCGGAACCTTTTGATCTCAAGATCCTCGCTGCCGGCGCCTTGGCTTTCACTTCACCTGGTGCTCCCGAGCCATCTGTCCCAGTTACCAATCCCACTGCTGGGGCACTCAAAATCGATCAGTCGCGCTCAGGAGAGAGACCCCGGGTTCAACATGAGGCATTGCCTTTAGGTCCTAGCAGTCGGGAATTGCCCATTCGCGATGATCGACCAAGTCATGGCTTAGCTGCCCCAGCTGTCGTTTACTCTGCTGGGGACAAGTACACTTCTCGTCGTTCCGCGCCTAGTCTTGGCCAGGCCGAGGTCACGTCCCCGATGAGCCCTCCACAGTCTGCTCCCAGTGGTCTTCCTCCACTTCTGGACTCTCCCAAGTCTGATGGCAGCGGTCATGGTCCATTACCATCTATCAGATCCCAGCTTGGGGACTTGCAGCGCCTGGCAGATACTGCTAGAAGTCCTGAGCATGATCTGGGTTCTGCGCGACATACGGCTTCATATCCCCGGTCGCCACCAACCAATATCCCCCGACTACCCTCACTCGCCGGGCTTCCAATCGGCCACACATCACCTCCAATTTCGCCCAATGAAGGCTTTCGTAGAGACCACCCATCGCCTGCGCATCCTCTAGCTGTTGTCAGCCCTTACTACTACGCGTCTTCATCGAGCGGTGGCCATCACAGACAAAGTACCGACTATAGCAGCGGTACAGCAGAGACCCCGAGCACTGATCAGACCGCTTCAACGCCCGCCACGTCTGTGGCGGATCGAATGAGCATCGACGGTCTTACAAATCCTCAGGCAGGTTATGTCTGCACCTTCTCGGGATGCAACGCGGCACCATTCCAAACTCAGTACTTGCTCAACTCGCACGCGAATGTTCACTCATCTGCTCGACCACACTACTGCTCTGTCAAAGGCTGCCCTCGGAGTGAGGGTGGCAAAGGGTTCAAGAGAAAGAATGAGATGATCAGGCATGGGCTCGTTCACGAATCTCCGGGATATGTATGCCCTTTCTGTCCTGACCGAGAGCACAAGTATCCTCGGCCAGATAATCTTCAGAGGTAAGGTGAATCCATATCGTTGTTACACATTCTGGTCAATCGAAGCCTCCGACGAACCGCTGTCGCTACCAGGCAGTTGATTTCGGCCGTGGACTTAACTAATTGAGTATGCAGACATGTCCGGGTACACCATGTGGATAAAGATAAGGACGACCCTGCTTTGCGGGATGTGTTGTCACAGAGACCAGATGGGCCAAATCGCGGCCGACGACGCAGAGGAGGACCTGTCTAATCAGCTGAGCAATGTGCCATCTGATGCTTTTCACGTAAATACTTTTCTCTTCTCCTTTCCTCTTTTGTGGGCTGTTCGGCACCGACGACATCTTGTCAAAATGTCAGAATGAGCACATAGGAGGTGGTTGATTGTACATAGTAGATGGATATTCGGAGCCACCAGATATCACTGTGATACTTGGTCCTTCCCCCCTTCTTTTGTCATGAGAGGGGGAGACGAGCGAAGATTGGCAAGGTGGGTGACGCCAACTTTTCGTTGGTTTTTGTCTTCGTTTTTTGTCTTCCGTTTTCTTCTTCTTTTCTTCTTCTTTTTTTTTTTTCTTGTTCTTGGAGGAGGCGGCTGTCTTGGGCTGGTACTTGTTTTGGAGCTTGTTTGAATTGGCACGGCACGAGTTCATGATGGGGGTTTGTTTCTGCCTTTTTGTCACGAGGATTCTGGCGTTGCGGTGGATCATATACCACATTGACGAGTCGTCCGCGTCACGTCACGTTTTGTCCCCTTTTTTTTTCTCTCTCTCTCCCTCTTTTCTCTTCTCTCTTGCTTGATGGGTGGTGACTGGCTAGGAGAATGCAAACTCTCGAACCGTCTTTCACAAGAGCCGACATGAACATCGTCTTCGATTCAAGCGGCAATTTACGAGAAGATCCCTTTCTCACTTTTGGTATTCGGGCATCTATTTGGCTTGTGGCCTTTCCCCTTTGCTTTTGTCTGCTTTTCAAACCGTCTACCCGAGAGATGGATAAAGGAGGGAGGAGGAGGTAGCGGAGAAGGATGAGTGGAGGGAGGCATCGCCGATTCGTAGTAAATTCTATGAGCAGGGCTTAAGTACCTACCAGGCCATTTCAATTCCGCCTTCCACCTGTGGCGACGAGCCGAAGCTTTTGGCTAGCCTCTCACCTGTGCCATGGCTACTAGAAATCGGTCATCTGCCATTCGCCAACGTGAACTGGGTTGTCGCTCAAAATCTCCACCTCGATGCTCTGTCGACCCTGCTGACTTCCAAGCCGCTCCACAATAAGCCATAATTTGTCTTGTCGAAGACGATCGGGCTCAAGGTCAAATTCGGGTGTCCTGATAGCCATCGTCAGTTCCCGGAACTCGCCGCCGCCTGACATGGCGAGTATCGACTCCTGTGGCCCCCGGCCGTAGACGAGAGAAACGCGAACGGCCGTGGTAGAAATGGGCTGGCTGCTTCGTCTCGTCTGCAGCGGGCACCGCGCCACAACTTGGGCTCGGGACAACCGTGATACCGTGACTAGCGCTCGCCTGCTCTCCTCCCCTTCGTTAAAGACAAAGCCTGGCGCCAAAGTTCGTAAAAGGCCGGCTCTGTCGCTTAAAACGGGTTTGATCTGGCATTCCACCTGAGACCCTACGCGCATGCCAAAGTCGGCGAGCTGGCCCGGCTCCCACGTCGAGCACACAATGGTGTATGTGCCCGGTTCCACCAGGGGGACCTGAACAAGAGCATTGCCTCTCCGGTAGTCGCCAGAACTAGCCGCGACATCCTTTACCCCGATTGATGTTACTCGTCTTCCGTGTGCCCATACCAGGTCGACATGAATGGCAACCTCTCGGTCTCCTGATGAGAGAAGTATGGACAGAGGCGTAGCTTGGGGAACAGAGATGCTGAACTGCGGATTTTGGGAGTAGGTGATGGATGACGCATTGCCTCCAGCAGTTCTCCTAGACCAAGCACTCGAAAGCTCTTGGTAGTGGCTCATGGCTTCCTCGGCTGGCTTGACTTCGAGTGGTGCCTTTGAGAAGAGAGTAAACGTACACGAATATTGATCCAGCGGGAGGTCTTGATGGGCCATGACAATGGTGTAGGGCGTCCCGCTGCGAAGTTTGAACTTGGCGAGGGTTTGTGGCGAGTCAACATATGGGCCTTGATAGACAAAGCCCTCCCTCACCTGAACCTTTTTGCCCTCGCTCTCAAAGATGAAGATGCTCGTGAAGCCGAGTTGTCTCGATACCGCTGCCAAGGAAGCTGATTTATTCCTTGCAATCTCCAGCTCCTCGTCTGCAAAGTGTCGACTGAGCAGAATCCACACGGTCTGTTCCGTATGTGATAGGACTGAGTATTGCGGATTGTGGGCAACAGAGGACGTCATGTTTTTGGTGGGCACGCGCCACGTAAAGTGGTGATCCTGCCTGTGTGTGAACAGGTCCGGATTCCAGTTGAGATACATGGACTCGAAGTTCTGTGCAACGTCTTCCACTGATATCCAGAAGGACCCGACGGGCCTGGTATGCTCAGAGGGCCTTGGCTCGATCGAGACCAATGTGTCTGATAACGACACAGCAGCCGTTTGCTCAACGATTCCAGATGAACCGACTCCTTTCCAGACCAGACCATCGCACCACGGGTTCTTGACAAGTAAGCGACGGGCGGCGGGCGAGCTGTCGATCTCCAACACAGCATAGTCGTGCTCGCCTACAAGACCCAGAGCGTCTTCTTCCGATTGCGTCAAGCGACCGGTTCCTAGGGTCATGATCAGATTCCCGGCATGATATGCCTCTTTGATGGAGTCCCATTCGCCCTCAATGTCTACATCTTCGCTACGTCTTGGCGTTAGTTCTCGCAGATGGTCGTCTCACCCTGGGCCGGGCTTACACGGCAGTCCCGACATACCTCTGCAAGAACAGCTGTTCAGGAATCCACCCGGTAATTACCCATAAATCGGTCCCCGAATTGCTGCCAGGGAAGTCGTACCCTCCGCGTACCTTCAAATAGGCCTTTTCCAGCAAAGCTGGCCACAAGAGATTGGGGTTCTTGCGGTCGACAACGAACAAGGTGCGATTATTCCGCGAGACAGGCAGCCGATCATCCACAACGACTTGTCTGAAGCAGCCATTGAAGTGCATACGGAATATGTATTTGCCACTCTTGGAGATCATCGGCCGCCCCTTTTGGTGGTTGTAGGGGTACATGATGGAGCTTAGGATCTGATATGACTAGTAAGCAAGCGCGGCTAACGGCATTCTGCGTACCACTATTGACTGACAGATTGTTTGCCACCTTGTAGAATCTTCATGGCGGCGCATAGACTGGCTACAACCGAACAGTCGGTCGTGACATCCTGTACGAGATCGCAGTCTCTTTCCGAGGCCATAAAGTCCTCGTCTACGGTATCGTCTCTTGCCTGGTCCACCGGCCGCTGCCAGGCCTCGAGAATACTTTCCTGCCTAGCCGACATTGTGTACTCTGCAGGGTCACTAGTTTATGGATGAGTTGTCTGGCCGATTTGGCGGTTATGCAAACGTACGAGAAAACATTCTGGCCCTGAGATAGGGAGAAATTGTCAATATCAGGCTCAGCCTGCCATGGCGGAAAAATGTTGCCATGCAGTCGTGATGAGCGCAGAAGGATAGTCCTCTCGTTGGATGGGATATGGCGCACATGGCAGTTAGGATTAGAAGCAGAGGTGATGGTCGCAACCGTTGGCTGGGTCAGAGACGGGCTTGCGGTCTTGGGGGAAGACTTGAGCTTTTCGGCGAGAGAAATAAGTCCAGCGCACTTTCTCCTGAAACGAGAGCGGTCGGCTGGTGAAGTTGCTTCGTGTGCTGCCTTCATGTATAAGTCGGCCGCGGTAATGGCATGATTCAGCGCTTCACGGCCTGTCGATCTGGCGACAAGGGCCTCTTCTCTCTGAATACCGAGGCAACTCTGGTCAGCTGAGGCGGGTCTCTGTGTTGCGTCGCGGCGTGACTTGGAGACTCACTCACAATGGCTTTGGCTTCCATGCTTCCCGCTAACAAGCAGCTAATTGAAGCTGTATTCAGTCGTCAATGTCAAGTCGAGGCGATAATACCGGTCGCTCGACTGGAATTGATTCAGGGGAATTAGCTTCCTATACAGGAAGTCGGAATCTAGACCTACTCGAACCGGATGTCGAGGTCACGAGTAAGGTAGGCAGGTAGTCGATGCGTTGCGACCCGACACGGCGGGATACAAGGCGAGAGTCGGGAAGAAGCAAGTGGAGCGATGACAGGTTGAGTAGTAGGGCTTGCGTTTGTTGGCCGTGCCTCTCAAAACCGCCCCTGGCTCTACCTACTGTCTGATCACGGCTTCTTCAGACTCTCTCTAACCTCAGTCTTGACTCTGGTTCCGGACCGAATATTGTGTAGTTGGTATAATGAGCGCGGGCAATTATGGCTGAAAATGGGCGCGGGGAAGCAGTCGCAGTCTTAGCGCGAAATGCATTCGTCGTGGGGTGAGACGAAAGAGAGCGGGCACCAGATTGAGGCTGTGCAAAGCAAAACCCAAAAACGGTCCAGAGTCGACCAGCCAAGGACCAGCCGAGTTGAAATGTTGAGACGGGCCCTGGGTGAAAGCTCTCGAGACCGAGGACGAAAGAAGCAAGACAAGCAGTCTTTGTGGGCGTGATTGGAGCGCAGGAGCGCAGAATCGTAGGAGAGTTCACTTCAGTTCACACTTCAAGCCTGCCTACCTTACTCTAGTATTCTGGCGGTTATTTCGAGTTGAAGCAAGCTAGGCGCCTAAAGGAGCGGAGTAAGCGCCGGGCAGAGAATCAGAAGCGTCGATATTAAAGGGTTGCATTTAGTCGGGCAAGGCAGGTTATCTAGGTCTTGGGAGCACGGAAAGGTTGTGCCCATTCATCTGTTGGATGAGGGCAGCAGGACTGGACATTTGTACATACCATCTATCAGAATGGAAGGTACAGATTGATAGATACCTACCTCACCTTACCTACCTTACCTAGATGTGGAGGTCCTTGGCTTGCTTGAATGACAGGTAAGGCACAGCACTGCTGATTAAACTTACCATGACTTACGTAAGGCATGTCCTGTAATCTGGGTGCTCGGAAACTGGTCAGAACTTACACGGGATGCAACCTAAATCATGGAGGACGGCACCTTGGACATTGCAGTACTGCACTATTCCGTCGAATTCCAAGTCAATCTCATTGGTTCAACCCTTTGTAGGTTTTATTTAGTCGGGTTCTAATGGCAGGAAGATGAGGGCTTCTTGTAGATACCATGGGCCAAGCTGGGGGCTAGCGGTGCCGCATGTCAGAGAGTGGACAGCTTTACATAGGTACCTGGATGTGTTGGCCAAATGAAACACTTGAAGCCAGACAGACTGTAACACCTCGGCACTGGGCCATCATCAACCTGCCTCTCATGTCGTCACCCACCTCTTCGCATGGCCGATTTTGGCTACCTACCTTCAGAGAGTTAAAGGTCTTCGGCGACCATTCTTCAAAGCCAGTCACGTATTTGCATCGAGACTAACCCGTGGGTACGGAGCCTTTATGCTGCTTCGCATCCATTAGCCTTCCGCACATTTTCACTCAAGATTCTTGCCTATCGACGATATCTCACCGGCACCTTGGCGTGCTTGCTTACCTTACCTCCCCTTAGCTTAAAGTGCGGCGGTCTGTTACCAGGAAGTATTACCTAAGGTGAGGTGCCGCAAGGTACCTTAGCCATTGATTGTGCCGAAACCCCACCGGGTGACCTCACCGGTTAACCGAGCATATGGCGGCCCAGGCCTCTAGCGTCATCTCCAAGGGCCGAGGTCGACGACTCTGGTGTCAGTCCCGGCACCCGCGCAGGCGCAGTGGCCGGCACGTCAATCCCCATGGCCCATGGGCACTGAGAACGACCCTCTCGGTTTGGACCATTCGTCCCAGTACCTTGAATCATATATCTAATCGTCGCCAATAACTTCTTGGACCATTCCTCGCGCTCGCGCATCTCCCCCATTGTTGCTGGTACTTACTGCTTGTCCGTTGCCGCTCTCCGACCTGCTCACTTCCCCTCCCGCCCTTTGCCTCGGATCTTGATCGGTGCAGAACCCCAACGCCGACGCCGACGCCGATATCGTCACCGTTACCGACATTGTGCGCGACGATTCCGTACTTGGGGGGCCCGGTTATTCGACCAAACGCCTAACAGAGAACTTTGATCCGTGTGCCTGTTTACTGCTTCTTCTACCTGAACTCGGCAATAATACAATGGCTGCGCAGTCGAAATCAGCCTCCATCTCACCTTGGGGCAAGGCGGTTGCTGGCGCCTCCGGTGCTGTGCTCGCCAATGCTTTAGTCTACCCGCTTGACATGTGAGAGATACGATGCTGCCGCGATACCCTCACCCTCACTTATTTGTCTTCCCTACCGCCTCAAAGCCACTCTATGCTGTCGTATTCTTTTATAGAGATTGCCTTTGGCTAACATCTCCTTGTTAAAGCGTCAAGACGCGCCTCCAGGTCCAAGTGAAGTCGCAATCCGGCGCAGTAGCGACTGATCCCTCCGAACCCATCGAACCCCATTATTCGTCCACCTGGGATGCCCTGAGCAAGATTGTTGCTGACGATGGCGTCAAGGGCCTTTACGCCGGCATGAGTGGCTCTCTCCTTGGCGTCGCCTCTACCAATTTTGCATACTTTTACTGGTATTCTGTCGTGCGCGCCCTCTACCTGCGTTCTGCCAAAACTTCGGCACCACCTTCGACACTCGTCGAGTTGAGTCTGGGCGCGATCGCCGGCGCTGTAGCCCAGCTCTGTACAATTCCTGTCGCTGTCATTACGACAAGGCAGCAGACCCAGCGCAAGACCGAGAGGAAAGGTTTTGTCGACACTGCACGGGAAGTTATCGATGGAGAGGATGGGCTGTTCGGGCTCTGGAGGGGTCTTAAGGCCAGCTTGGTGCTCGTGGTGAATCCTGCAATCACTTACGGAGCTTACGAGAGGCTGAAAGAAGTCGTCTTTCCTGGCAAGAATAACCTCAAGCCCTGGGAGGCATTCCGTACGTTATTGCACCCTCCTGGTCTGCAAGGTTTGGACGGGGCCGGCTTTGGCTGATGATGATATAGTTCTTGGTGCTGCCTCCAAGTCACTCGCAACGATTGCCACACAGCCTCTCATTGTAGCAAAGGTAGGTTTGCAGTCTAGGCCGCCACCCGAAAGGAAGGGCAAGCCTTTCGGCAGCTTCATCGAGGTAATGAACTTCATCATGGAGCGAGAGGGTGTGTCTGGTCTCTTCAAGGGTATGGGACCACAGATCCTGAAGGGCCTTCTTGTCCAGGGCATCCTTATGATGACAAAGGAGCGGTAAGCACGATTCTATTTGAATTGGAGTATCCATCGTAAGGGTGCTAACTCGGGAATAGCATGGAGTTGTTGTTTATCCTCTTCTTCCGCTACCTCAGGACGCTGAGGTCAAAGCGGCTGCAGGCTTTTGCACGGAGTCCCGAAGTTATTCGCAGCGCATCTGCCATCAAACCTCTTTGAGAGAACAGTAGCGACATGCATACATCTGCCTAAGCAACCTCGTCAAGGAGCCAATGGCGGCTGGCCTTTCGACGTCATGTATAGCGGAATGAGATACTATCTCATAGGGCGTAGACTGTAAACAGAGTCGCGGGCAAACTCATGGACTAATCTGTATCGTGATAAGGATAGAACACAAGAGCACTGTACGGTCACTACAAGTGGTTTGCACAATAGAGACGACAATCGACAACTCGAGGTAGCTAGGATAGAGTAAACCACGTTTTGATTCCCCAAATTTGCTCTTTAATGATATTCCTACGTGTCTTGGAAGTAGACAAGTAATTGAGAATTTTGACGGCATGATACATAAAAGTCTGGTAAACCCTTGGCGGTATGCGAATCAGAAACATGGTTGTATTTCGTGACGATAGTCCGACAATGATATTGAAACATTCCAACCGATGAGAGGTAGGTATCTATCGAGGTAAGGTGATCAATGCTCCATGCAGTCATACCGGCAGTCCTGCCTGCAATGACTTATCCGCACTGAATACTTAACAGACCTACCTTACTCAATTATGAAATCTGAGGTATAATGTTGTACGGATTGGAAAGCCTGACACACTAAACTCCATTCACTCATGTAAGAACCTACCTTACCTCAGGTGGTGGCGCACTGGCGCGATAAGACTCAGCCACACCGTGGCTCAGCAAGTCCATTAGGGCACAGATTTTCGACCCACAACACCGCAGAGCCTAGCATGCACCAAACCACCCCACGGCCAGCCTCGATATCACAATACTCGAAATCCCCTCGACCGCATCACGAACTCCAGGCTTTAGTATTCAACGTTAGGGGCATCTTCCGACCGCAGCAATGGCCAGTATGTCACGACAATCTGTTTCTGCGAGCCTTGTTGCTCGCACCGAGAGAGCTTAGCTAATTTCTGAGCGCAGAGTCCAAGAACTCCTCGCAGCACAACCAGTCGCGCAAGGCGCACCGCAACGGGTACGAATTGAAACCTCATTTCTGGCCCATACCAACCGATTTTTGAGGTGTGCTTTTACTGACGTTTTTTTCCTCTTCTTACTGTGTAGTATCAAGAAGCCCAAGACGTCGAGATACCCTTCCCTCAAGGGAACTGACCCCAAGTTCCGCCGCAACCATCGTCACGCCCTGCACGGCACCATGAAGGCCTTGGTACGAATTACCCCGAATAACACTCAAGAAGGATTCTTGTTACCCCGACCTCCACCGCGACGCTTGCTGACAAGTCTACAGAAGGAGCTGAAGGAGGGCAAGCGCGAGACGGCATAGACAGGAAATTGGACGCATGGTTATTGGTCTCTTCTACAGCACGGCTGCGACGCATTGGGGCATCAGGGAATCAAATGGAACTGGCAATTAGGTTGAAAGAGCCAGCAAACGAATCAACCACGGTTTAACCCTCTCGGAATACCGAACAAGCCGCGAAAGTCGGGCATATGCTGCTTCGTAGTCCAAACGATGACACCCGACAAGAGAGAACGATGACTCTGCCAGGGGCGTGGCGACGGAATGATAGATGCAGCGAGGCTCTACTATACGTTCATCAGCCGTGCCCCGATGGGTGAACCATGATGTGCGATATCAGGCCAGTTCAAGGATCACTACCAAGTAGATAAAAACCTTACGCCAATCTTCCACGGTCGCCGATATCGAACGTGATCAATGAAAAACGGTCAACTCCAAGAATCTCCCCGGGTCCAGTGGGCTCTATTTACCCCAGCGATCCAATATGTTCGGGTATCCAAGTTGGATGCCTGCCTTGAATATTCAAGGTCTGGCCTTGCTAAGGTACGACGCTCTCCCCGCAAGTTCCGGATGGCCCAGCCCAGCAAGTTGTGAGATCGGATCGCGGGTCTATAACTCCAGTTTCACTAGCTTGACTGTGGTGCTTTCTCCATAACCAAGATGAAAGGGCCGTAAATGCCCAACATGAATTGACTGCCCCCATGGCTGACTTGCAGCAACTCGGTAAGTCACTACCAACTCATGAAGCTATTAGACACTTTACTGGCAAAGGGAGGGGCGGCATTCGTCGCCGGGGCAAACTAGCATGCTGGCAGTTTGAGAAAGCAACTCAACAAGGAAGCTCGAAGAATCATCGCCAGTCAGCCTTAATCCTTCACTCAGCGAGGCGTTCCGCCAACTCCATTCCACGATTCCACTACACACCTACGCGTTGGCGTCTATCTGATGGATCGGATTCTTGCCACGCCGTTCTCTCTTCTCTGTTTTTGCATGAGGCAAGTAAATGGGTTGATGAAAAGAACGGGGGAGGACTCGGGGCGAGACGCGTACGTACCCTCTTGGAGGGTATCTAAAGTTAAAGTTGAAAATACCCGCCAGTTGCGCCTTAGTACCTGGGAGATGTAGAAATAACGAGCGTCACAGGAACTTGGCTGATAGTGACCGTGCTTCCATTGGGGATCGTTAGTACATTCTCGACGGGGACGTGTGGCGATATCTACTCCTCCCGGTGCGATCAAAGCTTGCCGTACCGTTTCCAATACTTTCGAGGTCGGATACCTACCTCAAGGTACTCCGTGCGATCTATCTGAGATAACTACCTAACTACCTTACCTGAGATACCTCTCTCGGAGGTGGATTTGATAAGGTGGGCACCTACCTAAGGCAACCAACCTAAGGGCTCCATGCAGCACGGCGTGCGAGGACCCTGCCTTACCTCAGGTGGTTAGGTTGAATGAACTGCACCAACTCGGTGACTAAGCAGCGACCACGCCACGTTGCTGAACCCTTCTTTCCCTCCTCCCGCTTGCCAGCCGTGGTGCAGTGCAGTACATGAATGAGTACGTCTCCTGCAAATTCGAGGAGCGAATTCCGTTCCCCTTTTGTTCCCACCACCCCCCCTTACATCTGGGTAATACTTTCAGACGACGCCAGCCTTGAATATCGTATTACCTACCTGCCTGGAAGCAGCATTTCTTGAATAATTCCTGCCCGCTTGCCAGAAGTGCATTACCTTTGTCATCCCGCTCCCACCACCTCCAAGATTCCCCGGCTCCGTTGTCGCCGTCCGCGCTCCTCTCTGCGGTAGAACACACAGAAAGCAGAACAAAGCACAACGCGACTCGCCTCGACTCCCATATCAGCAGCTTCGGCTTGCGCCACCGGCTACTGTCTCTTTCGGACCCTTCTCTCTAGACATTCAACCAAAATCCAAAGTTCTGGCCCGATAACCAGACCCTGTCATCCGTTCGGAGAGACATGTGTTGAGCAGCAGTTCCTCATTAGAATTAATCCCCGACTCCTTTGAGGTCAGCAGGTTTCTGCAGGAGCTTTGGGCAGCGAATACGTACCCTACGATTCACTACTCGCGCCGTCTGAGCTCTGCCACAGCCAGAGACACGAAGGGGGAAAAAAAAAAAACAGGCCGTTCGGGGCTATTGTCTTCACTTGAACGAACCAAGTCAACACGTCCCTTTGGATCTCTCGACAAGCGAGCGTGTGATCGCTAAAGTGGATTTACACCGTTTGCTGCTGTAGCTTCTCTCCGTCTCTCCCACTCTTGATTCAAGTCACAGAGTCAGAGAGGCTACGCTTGTTTGCTGATTCGATTGACGTTACCGTCATTCGAAATCTCGAAACAGCGCTGGTCCCTCCTTGCCCGGGCCGACCCCCCTTCCATCATCACACAAAGACACGACACCCTTCACTGGTCGTCGGCATCGTTTCATCTGCCACCTGCCAATTTTCTACCGTCTTCACGACATCAACTTCGCCGCCGTTACCAGCGCGATTTCTGCCTCGCTATCATTGCGCTGTCTGTCGACAATGCTCAATATGTCTGGCAGTCACATTGCGGGAAACCGCAACAGCACCCCGGAGGCCAACACAAACCCGTCTCTTCGCCCCCCCTCCTCGAGAGTTATGGGAGCCAACAGCCACCTTCGAGCTTCTGCCGACATGGCTGCGCTCTCCAACGCATCTCCCTCGAGCCGGATCCGCCCGTCGTCCGACTTCTATGGCTCTCAGCAGGGCCAAGGCCATAGTAACCCCGAGACCGATCCCCAAGACAAGATCGCCCAACAGTGGATTGCCGATATCGACCAGTACGAGACGACTTTGGAAGAAATGGCCGCTGCTACCCTCGACCAGGACTTCAAAGACGAACTAAGCGCTATTGAGCAGTGGTTCAGGGTCCTCAGCGAGGCCGAGCGCACTGCTGCTCTGTACGCCTTGCTGCAGCAGACCACCCAAGTGCAGATTCGATTCTTCATTCAGGTTCTACAGCAAATGGGCAAGAACCACCCCATGTCGGGCGTCTTGTCCCCGGCTAACTTCGATAAAGGCACGAATGATTACACGCTTCTTGCTATCCTGCTGTCCTTTAGCTAACGTGTCTATTCTAGATCCAATGTCGAACCGCCTGAGCGACGCCATGAATAAGCTGAATGTCGATTCATCCAGGAACTCCCTCGCCCGCCCCACGAGCACTGCGACCGGCAAACGGCAATCGGGACTTGATCCCTCCACCATCAATGCAATGTTTCCTGACGCCGCCGCAGCCATTGCGACCGAGAAGGCCAAGTTCACCCAGCAGACGGGCAATCCTCCCTCGTCCAACCGCAACAGCGCTGTAGGTGATTCTCGGCAGTCTATGGCTGCTCCAACAATCGCGGGCCCTGCCGACAATCACGACTCCAATGGTCAAAACCAGTGGACTGGAGGCGATCAATCGGTTCAGGGATCTAAAGCTCCGGGTGGTCAAACCCCGATGGGTCAGTTTGTCCAGCCGCCCCCGTCGAGTGGTTTGAGGTCTCCTCGCCCGCCTCAGATCTCGGGCAACCAGAATATTCAAAACACCACCTTGACGACCAACGACAAGCCGGCAGACCTTCCTCTCCTGTCCCCGTACAACCCGAGTGGTGGTAACTGGGCGTCGATGGTCAATACTCCGCTCGTGGCGAATTTCAACGCCAATACTAGCGGTACGCAGGCCGACATGGTCGCAAATGCCACCGCGATGAAACTAGCAGCTTTGTCGACCGTTAACAATCGCTTCGCTCTTGATGATGTTCGCAAGTATCGCCGTGCCCGATCCAACGATGCTCCAGGTGCTCCAGGCCAGCAGGGTCTGCCTCAGAATGCTCAGATTCCCAATACCAACGTGGTCATGATCAACGAGCACGGCCAGGTGCTTAGTCGCGAGCAGATGATTGCTTTGCAGGCACAAAACATGGGCTTCGGCCAACATCGATCTCGGCCCAGCTCGCCTGGCATTGCCATGCAGCCCGGAGGCTTCGGGCCCATGGCTTTCGCTTCTCCGCAAAACAATGGGTTCCTCAGCGCCTATGATGGCGCATCTCCTCTTCTCAACAACGGCATCCCTTCAGTCAATGTGGGCCAGCTAGGTGTAGGAACTCACGAAGGATACCTGTCAGACCACTCCGATATGGTCCGTGGCCGATCTCCCCGAGGTCGTAGGGGTAGCTCGAAGCCGCCTGAAGACCCGACAGACCCGACCCTTCTTCAGGATATTCCCAGCTGGCTGAGGAGCTTGCGGCTGCACAAGTACACTGAAAATCTCAAAGACATGAAGTGGCATGAATTGATTGAGCTCGACGACAAGGCTTTAGAGGATCGTGGAGTCAACGCCCTCGGAGCTAGGCGGAAGATGCTCAAGGTTTTTGAGCAAGTGAAGGGTACGTACTTTTCTGAGCCAGCTTTTCTGCGGCATCAGCGCTGACGCTATGTGAACAGAGGCCAAAAATGATGGTAAGATTGCTTAAAAGGAATTTGACGGTTGATGCAAGGAAGATGTGTGCGGTTGTTCTTACCCCTTCACGGACACACAGACACATTTACGCATTCACGCGCCCATAGGCCCAGTGGCCTCAATGTGTTGTTGGATAGACAACAAGCATAGCAAGAGGGTATAAGCCTGAGAAATTGCGGGTGTGTATTCGAATAGTGGTCCGGAGGGTAGGTAAACCTCTACCAAGGGTTGGTTTTTGCTCACTCTGTGCTTCTGTACATATATAAGAAGATAACTCTACGTGTCCGGCTGCGCGCAAGGAAGCGCCTCCATATTTACAACGCGTGGCTGACGATTGTTTGTGAGAGTCTCTAATGGTTCTGAAACTCAGTCGCATCGAGAAGGAGCGATCATGTCTTCGAGCGGCTGCTCGCGCCGATTGTGTTAGAGTTGAATATCCGTTCTAGAACGTTATTTTCAAACACCTGGATCTGCCGATCAGCAATTGTGCCGCATGATTGAATCGATTCCCTGTGAAGAAGGGGTATCGACATACACTGACAAGAAATTACGAGTGCCATTTGCTTCATAGGTCGCATTGTTCACCAGCATTGCTACTCGCCAGAAGGGGAAAAAAAGCTGTTAGTAGGCGAGGAGGATATGTCAAATTTACCTCAGAAGCTGAGTGGGGAACCTTGGGGATGCGAAGGTGAGGTAATTGGGTAGGTATGGTGGTGCACGTACCGTTACCTTTCTTTCTGCCTTTTCCGGGGTGCTTGATCAGCTTCATACTTTGCAGCTGCGACGACCTCTTCTTCCTAACTCTTGCCTTTCTAAAGGCTGTTGTGCATTTTCGGTTTCGGACACACTAGCCTGCTCAAATCTTTCGGCTACAGCTCATTGTCAATGGCATGGTGGCATTTCCACTAGAGCTACTCGGCCTGTATTTTTCTATCTCTATTACTTCTCAGTCAATCCGCCAATTCTGGTCTGCGCGATAAGACGATTCGAAGGGACCGGGTGTTTGTCGACCACACAAAACAGGCTGGTTATTTCCCGCAGACTCAGCCAACCACATCCTCTATCGACGAGATAAATGCTAAGGTAGGAAGTTCCTAAACCGATTTTGCCGACAAAGCTATTCCTGAGCGCTGTTGTTACTTGCAATCCTAACCTCTTTCAGCAGATCATTGCCCTCCCACAGCAAACGGTTCTGAGCCTTTCCGGCTCATCAAAATCGGATTGCTCCGTCTAGCTTTGCCACCATGGATTCAACATGGAAAGAAGCTGAGGCTACGAACCTCGAAGACAATGCCCATATTGATGACGACGATGATGATCTTGTATCGGATGCCGATTCAGATGAGATGGAGCTCCGGGGCGATATCGCCAAGTATGAACAGTCTGTACGAGAATTTCTCTCTTCACACCACACTACTGGGGCCAGCGCTGGCGCTGGCATTGATGGCGATGACGGAGGATTGAGGAGGGCACCGCCAATATCGAGGAGCAAACATGCTTCGCGCTCCATCCGAGGTCCCAGAAAGGCTGCTGAGCCCAGAGGCGACATCAAGCTTCGTCTTGCGGGAGTGAACCAGGCGTTTATGAGTGGGAATTATGCCCTCGCTCGGGATCTCGTATTCGAGATCATCAGAATTAATGCCGAAACTCATCAGGCATGGACTGTCCTAGCATCCATTTTCCGAGAAGAAGGCGCGAACGACCAAGCGTTGATGGCTATGGTCATTTCTGCTCATCTGAGGCCCAAAGACTTCGCGGTGTGGATGGATTGTGCGTCCTTTGCCATGAGCCTTGCCGAAGGCGGTCAGGAAGGCGCTCTCAAGACCGCCCTCATGTGCTATTCATCTGCAATCAAGGCTCAACCAACGAGCCTTGAAGCTAGACTAGGTAGAGCCGAAGCCAGTCACCGCCAGGGCTTCTTCTCCCAGGCTATTACTGAATTCACCTACGTCATTGAGCGTCGCCCGCTGGACATAGATGTCGTTCGACGATTGGCAGAGGCCTGCGCCGACTCTGGAGGCATGGAAGATGTCCAGAAGGCTGTCTCAGCTTACAAGACGTACTTCGCACATGCACGAAGTGCTGAGCAGGAAGCAGGGGGGGAACTATCATGGCACGACATCGGCATTTATGTGGAGCTCTTTGCCTGCGCTGGGGACTTCGCAAACGCCATTGCAGATCTCAAGTCGCTTTCACGCTGGCTGCTCGGACGACCAAATGACCAACTATGGGATGCTTGTTTCGATGACAGGGAGTGGGATCGCGATCATTCTCGCCGTGTTCAAATCCCCTCTTTCGACCCTTCTGCCTATAATATGTATACATATGGCATGGGATTGCCTCTGGAATTCAGGGCCCGTCTTGCTCTATACCGGCTGAAGATCCGAGACGAGGAGGAATCAGATGTATGTATACTGCTGTCTTCCAATGGCTCAAGATGCCTCAGCATTTACTGATACCCTGCTAGCTCCATCTACAGTGGCTAGATCCAACTGAATCTGCCACGGCTACCGCCATTGAGGACTTTCCCTACCTTGTTCGAGATATTGCAGATGAACTCTGCGCCGCCCAGCGCTACCAGGAGGCACTGGATTACTACGAACTGCTGCGACATTCCGTATACGGGCAAGACGCTACCCTACTGCTTCAACTCGGCCGCTGCTACCTGAGAAAATCCGACAACGTTGCGGCAGAGGACTGCTTTCTTGTGGCTATTCAGGTCGACGAGACCAATATCGACGCCCGTTATGAACTAGCTACGGTATACGAAAAGGCTAAGGAGGAAGAGGAAGCTTACATTCTCGTGACTGAAGCGATTGCTCTTCAGGGCATCAACGATGAAGGGGCTTTGGCTGGCGACAGCCGTGGAGATATGCGTGGCATCGGAAGTCACCGTTTATCAGGTTCTCTAGCCTCCGGTTTGGCTGATGGCGCCAAGTCACGGCGTAGACGGGAGTACAAGCGCCGCCCTGCAAACAGCGGAATTGTTCGCCCGAGATATCGCCCGAAGCGCCTGATAGCTCCCGATCAACGGATGCAAGAGGAGCGAGCCCGGGCAGATGAGCTCACAAGGCGATACGAAGTTGTACGCAGCCTAAAGAAGGAGATACAGGCAGGCGATCACTCTCTAATCCCAACGTGGATGGCTGCTGCCGGCGATCTTGTGGGCGAGTTTAGATCCTTCAGGAAGTTCTATCCTTGGGACAAATACCTCAAGTTCCTTGGAGCCGCCAATGATGTTGTATTCAGCGCTTCATCCCGAACTCAGCCTGGCCTTTCTGAATTGGCTGAAAGATTGTCCAAAAGTATGCATTTAATCGCCTCAAATACTGCCTTTGCCCCTGTACTAAGTTTCTACAGATATGGCACCATCTCTGACGGACGAGAGGAGGACGAACGTAACGTACGAGGACGACGGCTATAGAGGCATTCCTTTCGGCGAATGGCTCGAACTATTCCTTGACTACGCCATCAGCCTTGCCCTCGATAACCGTGCCGAAGAGGCCTACCAAGTCTGTGAAGCAGCTCGAGATTCCATCGTGTTCGTCAATTCCAAGGATTACATGTTCTTGATCCATGTCGCATGGGCGGGTAGGCCAGATTTCCTCCAATGCTATTCAAGATGCATGACTAACTGATGGACTATTGGAAACAGCATGCGCAATATATCTTTCTGACGAAGAGATGTGTGTAGCTGTCGCTAGATTCTTTATGAAGGTACGACAGCTGGACTCGGATTCATACCGCATGTTCGCCGCATTGTGCAGACTGTGCCAATCACCGGCGTCATGGTACAATTCAGGACCTGCGCAAAAGTATATCTTACGCCAGATCAAGATCATTGACGCTTCTCACCTTGGTACGGCACAGGCAGATAGGAGCTATGACGTCTCGGTCGGTGATCGTACGAGTGCTGGTGAAGCGAAACAGCTCGATACTTGTTTACTGATGCTTTATGGGCATATTCTCTTTACTTCAACCAGCTACACCTTTGCACTGAGTGAGTCAAACCAACGACTGACCTTTTCCCAAAAGGACCTTGGCTGACATATGAATCCTTGTGCTAGATTACTTCCTCAGAGCACGAACTCTGGATCCACTGAACCCCATGATCAGTCTCAGCGTGGGGCTAGGATACATTCATCATGCTCTCAAGCGGCAGGCCGACAATCGTCAATATCTCATCATGCAAGGGTTCGCCTGCGTATTTGAATTCTGCCATTCTAAACTTTCTGGAACGCCGGAGGAGAAGAGAGAGGCCTTTTTTGGCGTAGCGAGGACTTTCCACATGCTTGGTCTGCATCACTTGGCTCTGGAGTGGTATCGAAAAGTTATTGGCGCGGATGCTTCAGATGGTGTTGAGCCACGGGGAAATGCAAGCAGCCGAGATGTGATACTCAATGCGGCATACAACGAGTATGCGCTCTTGATCAGCAGTGGCAGTGTCGACGAGCTGGAGCAGTTTGTTCTACCTCGGCTAGTCCTCTAGTTCTCTACTTAGGATAGACGAAGTGGTGATCCCTCGGTTGAGAACTGACCATGTCGATTCACATCGGAGTGCCACGAGGACAAGTACATTTCTCAAGACTGAATATTTGTGTTTCTATGCCTATTAGCTTGTATCTCGGGCTCCTTGAGAAGAAGAATAAATTCCAAGACATAAGATGCCTTATGGCACTCAGCAGCATTATGAGTGCCTAATGCGGTGGGCCACTGATCGTTCGACATCTACCAAAGACCTACTGCGTAGGCGAGCAATGTGGCACTCACGCACGCACGGTCACGATGTGCCGATGTTGGGGACAGAAAGGGAAGGTGGGGTCTATTTCGCATTTTGGGCTGGAAATCTTCGCGCTAATCCATTCCAGGCACATTCTCCAATCACCCTCTTCTCCCCTGTTGACCCACTAAAATCACCCCGCCCTAGGCCCGATTGGTGTTGGAGGGGCATTCGACCAGGAAACTTTTTTTTTTCTTTTTTTCTCTTTTTTGGCGCGCCGGCGTCGCAACAGAAAACCATTGTTAGCTGCCCCTCGTCCAGGTTTCCCCCCTCACACGGTGGAGGTGCGGCAAAGAAACTTTTCACGTCACTGAGTCGCCCGAAAAGTGAATCATCGTCCATCCGTCCGTCATCACCAATGCTCCTATGCACGCATGAGACAGACGACTCACTCTAGTACCCTTCCTCTCTGTATCTTCGGCCCTTCTATCGTCTGGTGCTCATATCTGGACGTTTGATTACGCGCTCCACGTTGGTTATCCCACTAGATCGAATTCTTAATTTCGTGTCTGTCTGTGCTCGTTATTCTTCTACATCAAGGCTGATCAAATCCTTCTTCAGGTCCCTCCGTGCTGCTTCTCGTTCTCAATTACGCCCCCAGCATGACTTCGGCCGATAGTGTGCGCGTTTTGCTCATTGGCAACGGAGGCCGTGAGCATGCGCTTGCGTGGAAGCTCAGCCAGTCACCTCGTGTCGTCTCCATCCTTGCGGTTCCGGGCAATGGAGGTACTGCCACCTGTCCCAAGACCACTAACGTGGAGGATATCGCCGCCGACGATTATCCCGCGCTCGTCCAGCTCGCGAAGGCCCAATCTGTCAACCTAGTCGTTCCTGGCCCCGAGGCTCCTCTTGTCGACGGAGTTGAGGCTTACTTCCGTGCCGCCGGCATTCCTTGTTTCGGACCTTCCAAGGAAGCAGCACAGATGGAAGGAAGCAAGACGTTCTCAAAGGACTTCATGAAAGAGTACAATATTCCTACCGCCGCCTACGAGAATTTCTCCGATTACGGAAGAGCCGTCGCCTACATCGAACAAGTATCCCACAACGTCGTCATCAAGGCCACCGGTCTCGCTGCGGGCAAGGGCGTCATCATCCCCACAACCAAGCAAGAGGCCAAGGAAGCTCTCAAGCAGATCATGGTGGACAAGGCCTTCGGGTCCGCTGGTGACGAGGTCGTCATTGAAGAGTTCTTGACCGGCGACGAGTTGAGCATCCTTACCTTCAGCGACGGCACTCACACTCTGTCTCTTCCTCCCGCTCAAGACCATAAGAGAATCGGAGATGGAGACCAAGGCCCCAACACTGGGGGTATGGGTTGCTACGCTCCGACGACCATTGCTACCAAGGAGCTCATCCGCCAGATCGATGAGGATGTGATCCAGCCCACTATCACCGGAATGCGTAAGGCGGGTTATCCCTTCCGCGGCATTCTTTTCACCGGCCTCATGATCACCAGTCAAGGCCCCAAGGTGCTCGAGTACAACGTCAGATTCGGCGACCCTGAGACACAAACTGTGCTTCCGCTCCTCTCTTCTGAAACGGATCTTGCCGAGATCATGATGGCTTGCACGGCTCACGAGGCCCGCCTTGACTGTGTCGATATCAAGATTGAGGACAAGTACAGTGCCACTGTAGTCGTTGCCGCAGGTGGTTACCCTGGTTCTTATGAAAAGGGAACGCCCATGGTGGTCAACCAGTCAACATCGCCGGAGATCACTGTCTTTCATGCAGGAACCAAGCTATCCCCACAGGGCCAACTGCAGACTTCAGGTGGCCGTGTAATTGCAGTCAACGCCACTGCCGACTCCCTAGAAGCCGCTGTGAAGAAGGCGTATGAGCAAGGTCTCACGCTCATCAGTTTCGACAAGATGTACTACCGCAAAGACATTGCCCATCGCGCCTTTCGGTCACAGCAGGGAAAGGAAGCTCTCACATATGCTGGAGCTGGTGTTAGCGTCGACGCAGGCAATGAGTTTGTTGAGAGAATCAAGAAGGCGGTACGTGCCACCAAACAGCCGGGAGCTGATGCCGAGATTGGAGGTTTTGGTGGTGAGCTTGACTTGGCCAAGTGCGGCCTTCAGCTGAAGGACGGCGAACTTCCCGTGATTGTCGGAGCTATTGACGGTGTCGGCACCAAGCTCATGATCGCTCAACAAATGGGAAAGCATGACACTGTGGGCATCGATTTGGTAGCCATGAATGTCAATGATCTTGTCGTCCAGGGCGCCAGGCCCCTGATGTTCTTGGACTACTACGGCTGCAGCAAACTGGAGATGAGTACGGCTGCTGCCTTCGTCGAAGGCGTGGCAGCAGGCTGCATCGACGCCGGATGTACACTTGTCGGCGGCGAGACTGCTGAAATGCCTGGCATGTACCAAAAGGATGACTACGATGCTGCAGGATGCGCGGTTGGCGTCATGGTCAACAGCCAAAGACTGCCACGTCAAGATGACATGGTCGCTGGAGATGTGCTGCTGGGCCTGGCTTCAAGTGGTGTTCACTCTAACGGCTTTTCCTTGGTCCGCCGCATTCTGGAGCGCGAAGGTCTGGCATACACTGACCCTGCTCCGTGGGATGCTGGCAAGACGGTGGGCGAGAGCCTGCTGACACCTACCAAGATCTATGTCAAGAGCTTGCGTGATGTCATTGAAGGTCGCCTCGTCAAGGGCTTGGCTCATATCACGGGAGGTGGTTTGATTGACAACGTGCCTCGCATGTTGCCGGAGCGTCTTGCTGCCGAGATCGACTTGACCAGCTGGGAAATGCCTGCTGTCTTCAAATGGCTGAAGACGGGCGGTAACGTGGAACCATACCAGATGGTTCGCACCTTCAATACTGGTGTGGGAATGGTGGCTGCGGTAGATGTGGCCAACGTTGATGCTGCCGTGGCAGCTTTCGAAGCTGCTGGTGAGAAGGTCCTGAGATTGGGACAACTGGTGCACAGGACCGGCAACGAGGCACACTGCAGAGTACTTAACCTGGAGACTTGGGCGTCGTAGTCATGAGAAAGAAAAAGAGAACGGGAAACGGCAAGGAAAATTGGGATGGGCGTTAAACAAAAGAGATAGTTGAAATATACCACATGAATGCGCAATGAAGCACAATCACCACCAATTAGTCTACCCTTATTTGGGTGCTTGATGGCCTTTTGCAACGTCCGTCCGCCGTTCGGGAGGCAGCACGTCCAACGATTATGGCCTCTGTGGCACTCCGACTATCATGACATTTATTGCCTCACTTCGGGGCCATGGGATCGTCTAAACACCGTCATCTGGCTAGTGTTGACTCCTCTACGTTTTACTGACGTCGCTGATGAATATGTAGTGCCTCCATCGCATATTTGGAGACAATCACATCTGGAAGAAATAAGTCAAGTCACCAATCACAGAGAAACACAACTCTATGTTTGGTACGTAGTCTGATATTTGGGTATTTCGTAGAAAGTATGGGCAGTCCAAACCTAGTAGCAGCCAGGAGTTGAATCCATTTCGCCAGCCACCGAGTGCACTTCTGTCTGTGCGATGTTGAGTCACTTACTTGGCCACTGCTTTTGACCCAATCTCCTCCTCTTCACCATCGCCTAAACTACCTTCGGCGCTGGCTATGTCCTCCTCATGGCTTCCTTCGAGTGCAGACAACACCAACCAAGTGGGAAAGACGCATAGAACGGTTATACCAAAGTTGAGGCCAATACTAACAAAGTGATTGGCGTTGCCTTCGGATTGCATACTGTAATTCATAGTCAGTTTCTGAGAATCGTGGTGGTGGTGTATAGAGATCCAACGAGTCAGGGAAGTATAGGGTGACTTACGCCCAGGCAACAGTTTGACCCAAAGCCTCAGTGCCTCTCAGAATACCAGTGTGACGACTCAAGTCCGAAAGGTCTGTCGCGTATTGACCGACAAGCCAGTATAGAAATTGTTGGAAGGCCTGTCCACCAAACTGCCAGAAAAAAACGAGAGCATAGCTCTTTCCGAATCCTCCCTGGAACCAGTCATAAGCAGGCGGTTCACTCGCGTCGTAGATCTGTTTCTGTAGCACAGTAGCCCAGATCCATGTGCCCACAAGTACGAAAATGATGGAAACAAATGCAATGCGGCCGCGGCTCTTGATATGGATCTTTTGGTTGTCCAGCAGCGTGGCGATCATGAAGGAGCTGAAGATGCCCGCAAAGTTGGTAAAGAAACTCGAAAACGCCCTCGAGCGCACGGTGAAGTATGTCGCGAGCCACGTGCTCATGAATCCGTTGTAGAAGTAACTTATGAAGAAGGCCGGCAGTAGTAGCAAGATTCTACGGCTGGCAAAGAGCTTCCCAACAGCCTTGAACTCCGCTCCCCATGTCGGAGCCCTCGGTGTGCTGATGACGGTTCCATCTTTGCGCCAGACCTTATTGGCAGGTGATAGACACAGCGCAATGGGAAGGCCGAGGCACATAATGACAATAAAAACGATGTAAGTCGATGACGAGACGGATCCTGTTGTCTTCCGGTTTGCATTGAGGCCCAGGTTAATGGCACCACCTACAATGGGTCCTGCAGCCTTGGCAGTTTGCCAGACAGCGAGATAGAATGCTCGATCTCCGGGAGACGGATAACCGATGATGATTGCGGCCTCGGCTGCCCAAAAAAATCCGGCAGAGATGCCGCAGAGGGCGCTGCCGAATAACATAAACCAAGTGTTGGCACTGACGTTATTCGTATACAAGCCGGCACCGTAGAGCGGGTAACCTATGGCACCCAAAGCAAGCCCATACGGAAGACCGATACGGTTGTTGATGGCGCCTGCAGCGACACACACGACCGCGAACAGGCCGTATACTTCGTAGGGGAGTTAATGGATCAACGCAAGAAATGATACAAATCTTGTTGGAGTGGAAGTCATACCAAGAGCATTGGCTGCGCTGACAGCATATGGCTCAGCAGCACCACCGGCACCGAGCCCGCCCAGGGCATCCCACATACCAGGGGCTGTGAAGGATACGCCACAAGCGACGACAATTTGGAAAGGTACTGATCGAAAAAAAGGCTTGGCTTTGGCGATGGGGCTCGGACTACGGCTCGAGGCCGAGTCGGGTGTCGGAGCAAGGCCCGTTTGCCCCGGGGTGTGGGTAGTTCCGGACATGGTTCAGTGGTGATCAAAGACTGCCCGTCAACGACTACCGGTAGTATGCGATATCAAGCTGAACTCTATCGGCCGCAAAGAAAGCTGCATGAAGACAAATTAGGAAAGAGGCTTAATCCAAACACATCCACGTGGGATCTGAGCCTCCAAAGTCTTTTTATCAAGGCATCTAATGTAGACAGACATTTCTTTCCTGTCATCATGTCTTATTGTGGGTTGATGGCGCAATCGGACCTATGAGTAAGAGAAACGTTGAAAATGGAGCATTCCCCATAAGTGTGCGAACATGTAGTCACAGCAGGTGTAGTGTGAATAAATGCACCCCTCAGCCAGCAGATTGGCAGAGTAAGTCAATGCCCTAAATTACGCCCCTCGAGGCAGTACTATAAAATTTGTATTTTACTATCGCTATATACTCGCACAATTCTCAGTATTAAATTCGATTTAGAGTCTTGATTCTATTAGTTACTAGAGCAGTTCTTAATCTTTTAATATTTATTTAATAATTTTTATATTATTTATTTTTATTTTATTTTTATTACTTACTTAAGTATTTTTAATACTAACTATATAATATTAATATATAATATTAAGAAATACCCTTATTATTTTATTAAACTATTTTTAAAAAAATGTTTTAAATATTTTTATAAAGATTATAATTATAAATTAATAATAATATTATAAAATATTATTACTTTATAAATTTATTATATATTTAGCTAAGTTTATAGCTTATTTAAATAGTAAAAGTTTATAATAATAATATTAAAAATCCCTTATTATTATTATTAAAAGTAATACTAACTTTATTAATATTTAATATATATTAATTTATTTATTATATATTTATTATTTTGGTTTTCAATAAAATTAAAACGCTTTATTTATTTATTATTATTATTATTATTATTATTAAATTATTTACTTATTTTTAAATATATACTATTAATATAAGTATATTTTAAAATACTTGATATAAACGTTATTTATTTTTAATTTATTACATTAAAATTATTATAATAAAAATAAATAATTTAAAACTCAAGGATATAAAAAAATCTATATATTATTTAATAACTTAATAAATGATTTATATTGATCTTAAAAGTATTAAAGTTTTATAAAATATATTAATATATTAGGTATTTAATATAATATTTAAAAATACTTCTAATATATTAAGTATATTATAATTTAATATAATATATATTAAAAGGTTTAAAAATTATAGTAATATAACTTTAAGTAGCTCTGATTTTAATAATAATACTACGTACTATTTATAATTATAACTAAGTAAATAACTTTTATAAACCGTTTATTTACTTAGGTATTATATTATATAATTAATAAATAATTAATAATCTAGTTAGATATATAATAGCTTTTTTAACTTTATAAATATAAAAATCGACCTTAACGGGATTACGCTTTTAAAAGAAATAATATAATATAATATACTTTTAAGTATATAATACGTATAATATACCCTAAATATATACTTAACGTAATATAATATTTTGATATAAAAACTATTATTTAATTTAGAATAAATAAGTTATTATAGTAGTACTAACTAGAAAAGTTAATAATAAAAGTTAATTATAATAATTAGTTATAATAATTAGCTATAAAAGTTAAAAGCAGCCTTTTTAATTATAAAGGTTTTAAACTTTAATAATAACGTAGTTTTTAAAAAGAGTAAAAAGGCTAATATTTATAGAGCTTATAAAGATTCTTTTATTTTTATTATTTTTAATATTACCTAAAGCTCTATTTAAACTAAATAAATTTACTAAATAAACCTATTAAATAAACCTATTAAATAGACCTATTAATATATAAACTACTACTTTATTAAAAAATATTAATAAATCTACCTCTCAGGCTAAGTATCTATAGCTAATTTAATATTATAACTATTATAATTAATATAAATATACCAAAAAATAATAAAATACTTTTTAATAATATAAAATTTAGCTAAATAATATTATAAGTATTATAAATAGCTAAACTAATATAAATATTAAAATTTAATATATTAATATTAGTTTAGTTATAATAATTATAATAAACGGGTTAAAAATATAAAGTTAAAATAATAAGCTAGTACTTTAAATAGCTCTTATAAACCCCTAAATAATAATAATACTTATAAAAAAAGATTATACTAAACTTAATTATTTATATAAGCTAGTATTAAAAGTCTTATATATATTAAAATAAATAAAGCTCGCTCTATAAATAACTGGAACTTAAAAGATTATAATAAAAGTTAGGAGCTATTTTAGTTAATAATTAAATATAGAGCATAATATACTTAGTTTTCTTTAATATATAATATATAGTACGGCCCCGGTAAATTACTCTATCGGGGAATTAAATTAAATATATTTATTTATTTATTTTACTTCTACTAGTTACTCGGGCAGTTCTCGATATTAATTACACAATATTAATACATAGTATTAGTAAATACTCCTACCGTCTCGTTAGACTATTTTTTAATTTTCTTTACTTATTTAGCTTTCCTCTTATAAAGTTTATAACTACGGATTAATAGTAACAAATTAAATATATAGAAATATTTTTTAATAAAAACTCTATATATATATTATAAAGTATTATTATACTTTTTAATTTAATAATATATATATATATATATATATTAATATTTATTTTATATTTCTACTTTTACTAGCTACTCATGGTTCTCGATATTAGTTATATAGTATTAATATATAATATTAGTAAATACTCTTATTATTTTATTAGATTATTTTTAATAATTTTTTTATTTTTAAACTTTCCTTCTTATAAAGTTTATAATTATAGATTAATAATAATATTAGTACGACGCTATTACTTTATAAGCCGCTTACTTAGCTAAGTTTACTACTCTCTAAGTAACGGTAGCTTATAATAGTAATATTAGAGATACTCATTACCGTTATTAAAAATAATATTAACCTTATTAATATTTAGTATATATTAACTTTTATATACTATATATTTGTTATTTCGTTTCTTTTATTAAAGTTAAAAACGCTTCTCTTATTATTTATTACTATTATTATTATTATTATTACTATCGAACTATTTATTTTAAAAATACTTAAAATACTAAAATATTAATAACTCGTTAACTTATAAGGATACTTTAGGGAGTATATTTAGTAATTCGATCTTATTAATATTATACTTAATAATCCTGATTTATAAAAGATTACTTAGAAGAGTATAAACTAGTTATTATTAATTTAAAAATTTAAAACATAAATACCCTTATAATTATTACTATTATTAGTACCGAACTTATATAATATAGCCTTAATAAAATACTTAATTAATTTTAAAATATAATTAATATCTTAATATCGTAATAATAAAATAAGAAGTTTAAAAAGATTAAAAAGAGAAATTTAGAGTTATTAAAAAAACTAGAAAATAAAGAGTAGTTTTTAATTATTTAAAAAGCAATTAATATATTATGTTATTAGTAATAGTTTAAGTTATATTAATAGCTACGGCTAGTTATTATTAGTTATAAAGTTTATTAAGTAATATACGTAACAAAAACTCGATATTAACCCTCGTAAACTAGCTTACCCGTAGGGCGAAGATAGCCCCTAATAAAATAGGCTAACCCTAAAGGGATATATATTAATATATATTATTAAAAATAAACTATATGTAAAAATATACTTCCCCCCGATAGAGTAATATACTAGGGTTATATTATATATTATGTATTAAAAAAAACTAAATATATTACGCTCTATACTTAATTACTAATTAGAATTAAGTACTTTAATTATTATCTCCTTTTTTAAAAATAGCTCTTAACTTTTATTACGTAATTTTAATTATTTCTAAAGCGAGCTATACTTATTTTAATATATATAATACTTTTAATACTAACTTATATAAATAAATAGATCTTATATTACGTATTTTTTTATTAAGAGTTGGGGACTTTTTATATAGTTTTTATATTTATAATATAGCTTATATTAAAAGATTTTTAGTTTTATAAAATATAATTTTTAAATTCATATTAATATATTAAATCTTAGTATTTATATTATTAATTACTTATAATACTGTATTATTATTTAATAAAATTCTATATTATTAAAAGTATTATATTACTTTTTAAGTATATTTATATTAGTTATAATAATTTAAGTATTAAAGGGGTTTAAGAATTTATTAAGCTTTAAAGAGGGGACTTATTAAAGGGTATTTTTAAAACGTCCTAGCTCGCTAATTATTAATTATATATTAAAAAGTTCTTATTAAATAGTAATTTATATATTAATAAGTTTATTTAATAAGTTTAGTTAAGAAATTTATTTAATTTAAATAGAGAATAGTTTTAAATAATATTAAAAATAATAGAAATAAAAATCTTTATAAACTTTATAAATATTAACCTTTTAACCTTTTTTAAAAACTTTTATATTGTTATTAAAGTTTAAAACCTTTGTAATTAAAAAGATTGTTTTTAACTTTTATAACCGACTTTTATTATTAACTTTTCTAATATTATTATATAACTATATTACTAAGCTTATTATTAATAAGTAATAATATAGCTTACTTATCTTAAATTAAATAATAAGTTATATATTAAAATTATTATATTATGTTAAGCGCATACTTAAAGTATATTATATATATTATATAATTAAAAGTATATTATATTATATAATTTGTTTCAAAACGTAATTCTATTAAAGTCGATTTTTATATTTATTTAGTTTTATTTTATTTATATACTATATATATAAAAAGCTTACTCTATATAAGTATATTTTTATATATAGTTTATTAAATTAAAAAGTATAATAGTATTTTATGATATATATTGAGCTTTTATTAAAAAAGGTACTCTTATAAGCTATATATTTAGCTATATTACTAACTATTTATTAGTTACGTAGTATAATACCTAGGTAAATAAATAGTTTATAATAGTAATATTACTAAAATCGGAGTTATTTAAGGTTATGCTATTATAGTTTTTAAACTTTTTAGCCCGCGTTATATTAGATTTATAAAATCTCAATACTTTCGAAATAGATATAAAACATCTATTTATAATTGAGTTATTAAATAGTAAGTAGATCCTTTTTTTATATTTTTAAATTTTCGAATTATTTATTTTTATTATAATAATTTTATATAATAAATAATTGAA